TTCTTGTCAGCAATCATAGATTACCAGAATAAGCTCAGTATACCGCAGACTTTATAGAAGAAATCAATAACATATTTGATGTGTTAAACTCAAGCAAAGTTTCATGTCCTAACAAATAACAAAAAGCATTTTCAATGAAACAAACCTACTCATTAGTAAAAATTTCATGTTTATAACTCAAACATAACATTTTCTAGTAAGTGTTAAAAGATGGCACTCAGAATATGCCATTTATTATTTTCGTAAGGAACATTGGTTTATTTGGGATGATAATTGATGCAAAAGAGTTCAATTAAAATCATTTATTATTTTACGCAAAATTTAATCTATGAGGTTCTCAAAATGTCCACCTCTTTGTTGTAGGCATAAAGCCAAGCGAATTAAAATGTGTTGTGTCGCTCTCCTTATCATTTCAGGATTATTGCGAATATCATTCGCATAGTTAATTATGCGGTCATGCAAATCAGCCTCATTGTTGATGGGAGTATTGTAGACATGTTGCTTCATAGTCCTCCATAGGAAATAATCAAGGGGCGTCAAATCGGGTGAACGCGCAGGCCACCCTACAGGTCCTTGCCGGCCGATATATTTATCACGATAATTATCGTTTAAAAATGATCTCACATTTCTAGCTTAATGAGCAGGACATCCATCCACCTGCAGAAACATCCTTCGACGCAAAGCCATAAAACAAGAGGTACACCCTCTAATAATTCTGGTAGTTCATCAATCAATAGACTTAAAAATCTTTCACCGGTCAAAGTTCTCGGCAATACGACTGGTCCAATCAACTTGTCATCGAGAAGACCAGCCCAAACATTTATTGAAAATTTTACTTGAAAAGTCGATGAACGTTTCAATTTCGGGTTTTCACCTGCATGGCATTTTTGTAAATTTCGACAGTTATTAATACCGTCTCTAGTGAATGTCGTCGCTTCATCCATCCATAGTATGGTTTTTGGAAAATTTGGGTTTTCCAAGGTTTTTCTTTATATCCAAGTGGACATCACAGACCTTGGACAGCAGTCTACGTCTTCATGTAGATGTTTCACCCTTTGGTAGTGATAAGGATGCAATCCTTCTTTCTTTAAAATGATCTACGCTGATTTTTGAGATATCCCGTGACGAAGAACCATTCTTCTAGTACTTATGTATGGATCAGCAAACAAATCACTAATTACTGCTTCTTCAATAATTACTTGATATCAGAGAAATCACACTTAGACAAAATAAATTCAAATGAACGATCATTTCTTTCTTTCATAATTTCTTTCTAATCACACCGCGGGCGTAAAACGCGTTGTGAGTTGTGCTTTAATTTTTTAAATATATATCTGCATTCTACAGAAACTGAGGTTCCGCAACCGCAGCGGACTCGGGTAAACTTAGCCTAAAGCTGACGACTGGCTGATGTTTTCTAAGCTTTGTAGATGTTATCGCTTATGGGTTTTTTGCTCCAGATAGCCTCGCATACCTTTCTAGTACTCTGTATCCATATATTGTATTTTCAAATTCTGAATTACCAAATAAAAAAACCATTTGATGTAGAAACAAATGTATCGAGAACAATAATTTAATGTCTTCTTGAACCTCGTTATTAAATAGAACGAGAACCCCATGCCCACGTTTGCCTCTAATGACAACTCTTTTAAACTTTTCTACCAAGACTCTTTTGATTTCTTTCCGAGGTATTCTTTTAGGATTTTTAAGTCACTTTCCAAAGGGGCTATAGTTACTATATCCCACTTATTTGTGTTAAGATCTGATGCTGCTCGGCTGGATATATCAAATTACCAATTAAGAGTCAATGATTTGAATTAAAGTTTTAGATCTGCCTCTATNTCTAATGACAACTCTTTTAAACTTTTCTACCAAGACTCTTTTGATTTCTTTCCGAGGTATTCTTTTAGGATTTTTAAGTCACTTTCCAAAGGGGCTATAGTTACTATATCCCACTTATTTGTGTTAAGATCTGATGCTGCTCGGCTGGATATATCAAATTACCAATTAAGAGTCAATGATTTGAATTAAAGTTTTAGATTTGCCTCTATTTCTGCTGTGTTTTAATCCATGTAAGGCCTTGGTTTTTTTAATGCGAATAAAATTTCTAAATTGCATTATTGTTTTATGCTAGAAAATGTGTGTTGAAAGTGATTCAAATCTATCTTTTTCGGTGTCAAATTTTCCCACTACTTTTGTAGCTGCAACAATGGTGTCGTGTAGTATGTCGGTCTCAGTGCGTCAAATAATTGTTTTATGGAAGGATTAATCTTTTTCACTTCTTGTATTAATTTAGCTCATTTCCTCGTTTTTCGAGAAACTACGTTAACACAATGTTTTTCTCTGTGGGTTTTTAAGTACTGGGACGCAAAGCACATATAAGGATATCTGATTTTGAGATAAGTGATATTTTATCGGCTCTCATTCGCAGAAATACACTGTCCTTAAGTTTTTCATCTATTTTTAAATGTCTTAATAATAGGTTTTAAGCTTCGGGTTGAACATTTCTAGTTGTTTTATTCGAATTTTGTGTCCACTTTTTCTTATGTTTCCACAAAAGCTTCTTTGAGTAGAATCCCAGGCAGTTTGTACATTGCAAATTATCTGTAAATTCTTGTTTCCGCATGGGTTTGGTAACTTCTATTGTTCTTTTTTTCGTAGTGCCGTGATAAGTTCCTTTCTCTCACGACTTTTTTGGATGTAGATAAAATATTTTGGACTTCAGGTTCATAAACATAATGTCTAGGCACATGTCTGGTAAAGTTTAAAATAAAACCTTCACAGAAAAAAACAGTAGTCCTTACCTCGAATAGCACTTTTGCTTTTGGATTGTTGCTTTTTTTAAGGTTTCAAACGATTAGCATTATAAATTGGGCACCATCTTTATTAGCAGAGCAGACTAGAGAGAGCTAGACAACAAAAGTCATAGATACACTAGAATGTTCAAGGCATACATACACTACAACTTTAACATGGCCCCTAATTTAACAATTTTAGAATTTATAAAAATAACATTCGTAAATTGTTGAACTTAATATAGTCTTATACTCTTTAGAATTAATGACATGTTTTAAATATATGTTTAGAAGGTTTAGTATTCATCTGATTGCTAATTAATTTAATAGTACTTTGATTATCAATATGTAAATTAGCTGTAAAATTTTCAATATTGAAGAAATCTGAGAGTAAACCTTTGAAGTGTATAAATGCACTGATTACATGTGCTTATGCAACATATTCTGCCTTGGCTGTAGATAAGGCAGTACAGGTCTGTTTCCTTGAAAACCAAGTTATTAAATTATCACCTTAATAAATAGCACAACCGCTAGTGCTCTTTGGGTCAGTCCTATTAGCTGTCCAATCAGCATCTGAGAATGATTCAAGTTTGGTATACTCACCTGTCTTTCTATAAAGCGGCCCCTGATTAGATTATTTTTGATTTAATGAACCCTTCATACTTGCTTCTACAGGCTTAGGACTGACTAGCTTACATCATTACTATGAAACACATTGGTATAGCTAGGCGTCTTTAAAAGTTCATTCATTTTATGTACATTCGTAGTTTTTATGATAATATTTACACGCTACAGTTTTTTTTTCTATTTTTCTTTTATTGTTATTTAAAACTCAATAACTTATTTACATTTTTATTTATATCAACGTAGTTGTTATTTTTTGTTTATTTATTTTTATTTATTACATATTTAAATATTTCACAGTAAATTAAATTTTATTACAGTTTAAGAACATAATTTGCGCCAACTTTGATGTTGTGAGACGGGTTCTCCGATCGTTTATAAATATATCCTCCTTGGATATATTTATAAACGTTTACAAGAAACTGATGTCATCATAATGTTGCATTTGGTTTTAAATTTTTTATATAGAATTGGATATATATGTTACGGTAAATCTGATTAATTGAAAATTATTAATATTTTTACAAAATTATTAATAATAACCACATGTTTTGGTAAATGTGAATAAACGATCGAAATTTATTACTTTTAGTAGTAATTATTAATAATTCACGACACATATTGGTAAAAGTTATAAAATAAATAAAAACACAATGTTTTTTGACCAGCAGGTATTTATTTATAATATTAAACACAGTCTTACAATTATATTAATTAGAGATCACACAAACAAGGTTACTTTTACTTGCAAACTAAGCAAACAACAAAGCAAGAAAGTCTTTCGTGGTACATACAATTGTAAAAAAATAAAATTAGACGATTATTGTTTCATTAACAAAATCAACACGAATCCTAAAAGCAATCATTAACAATCATATTTGGTTTGCCTATAAAGCTTCTGTAGCACCTATAAATGCAACAAATTAAATTTTTATTAGTATTATCATAGAATTCAACAAATATTTGTTGTGCAAGTAAAATATATTACTATTTAAATTGCAATAAAAATAACATCAAAATAAAACAATTAAAGGCTCATAAAAAAAAGAAACTAAAAATATTATTTATTTTTGCAAGAAAGACTTTATGGCACTTTGAATTGCAAAGAACGTGCATTTTTTTGCATTTGCAGCGATTAGAGTTGCATTCGCCAGTACAGTTGCAGTGTTGAAAGCCTTGCCCCCCAGATTTGAGTCCTTGCGGGCACATTCTCGCAGACTGCAAATTGTATTAGGAACCTCATCAATACTGACAAACTTTTCCTTGCAAACTGTAAACTCATTTCGTGAATACAGTTGATTTAGAACGCCATACTTTGTCCCCAGCTTGTATAGGTTATGATCAGTAACTGACATAATAACGCCGATTATGTTTAAGCTATCTGCCTTGGCTCGATCGACTTCTGGCACGCGTACCCTAACGCTGTCCCCTATTTTTCCAACTGGAAATTTTGTTTTGGATAGTTTTAACATTTTTTCAGCTTGCTTTTGGAGAGACTCTCTCGCAGAATCTCGAACTTCTTGAATTTTAGTGGAAGTAGTGGCGATGATTGAGACAAGCTCTTTATCTATATTTTGGTATTCAGCTTGCTTTTAGAGAGACTCTCGCAGAATCTCGAACATCTTGAATTTTAGTGGAAGTAGTGACGATGATTGAGACAAGCTCTTTATCTATATTTTGGTTTTCCGAATTGATAATCGTTTCTTCCTTATTTGGATTGTCAACAGGAATTTCTTTGGGATTTTCCTGTATTGAGTTAATTTCAAGCTCACTCTGCAATTCAGGTTCAATTTGCACAGAATGGGCATCAACCGGATAAATATTCGAAGTAGGTTCAATTTGTTGAGAATGGATATCAACTGAGTGCACGTCCGTAGTATGATCCAAGGAGTTACAGTCGTCAGTATCAGCATGTTGAGGGTCTTGAAGTCTTTCTAAATCTTCTTCGCTTGTAATATGTGAAATATCAACAGCGGGCAGAAAAGTTTTTAACCCAATTTTTGGTTTACAACCAAACATAGCTTCATAAGGACTCGTATTTATTCCTAAATGGAAAGCTTTGTTTTTCATAAACTGTATGAATCTTAGACCTTCTGACCAATGTGTTGTTTTGTTGGTTTCCAACCAAGTAGCTAAAATTTTTTCAATGTCTTGATTTGCTCTCTCGACAGATCCTTGAGACTGGCTGTGTCGCGGCTTTCCATGAACAATTTTAGGTTCATCCCAAATTTTACACACCTCAGTAATTACATTATTCACGAATTCACGCCCATTGTCATTATGCAAAATACAAGGCGCTCCAAATATAGTAAATATGTCTAACAAATGATATCCAACTTCCTCAGCACGCTTCGTTTTTAATGCTCTGAGTTGCACAAATTTTGTAAGGTGATCTTGGTATACCATTATAAACTTATATTGACCGCCTGTGATTGCATGTCAATAAGATCAACTTGACATCTTGAATTGAATTCAGTACTCTTAATGGGCCTTACTACCAACCCCTTTTTAGGAATATTCATTTTCTTTTGGCATGGTTGACACAAGTTCAAATAAATAGTTATAAGTTCAAGTGTAATATTCTTATATTTATTTTTAAGCTCTTTAACCATTCTGGTGCGCCCTCCGTGACCAATAGAAATATGAGTCTCATGAATAATATCAAAATTTTCCTCTAAATAAGTGTAGTAAATAAGCGAGTCTTTCTCGTCCTTCACTGGAACTACAAATTTTTTTATGTTTCCTATATTAACAACATCGTATCTTGACAGACGTTGATAGTCTTCTGGCGTTTTTTTGCTTTGTTTTCTCTTTAGAAGTTATAACCTTGTTTAAAAAAGTAAAATACTCATCTCGTGTAAATAATTGGTGATTTTTTCCTTTCTTAGATTTTATTTCAAGGCATTTCTCATTAAATCTGGTTTTCATAATAAGCTGGTCTTCCATTTTAATACTCAAACTCAAAAATTCACTTTACGTCAGCAACAACAAATAACGCGCGCGTGCTTTTAAAACAATAACACCGAGCCAACTAACACGTCGCCTACGCGGTTCCCTCGCGTGGCATCCCCCCCGCACCTCTCGTACGTCGCACACACCGCCCCGCCCCGCAACCCTTGGCCACTTATTACATTTATCACTACTAGAGTTAAATTATTAATAAAAACCGACAAATGTGATTAATTTATCACTTTAACCTCGACTTTCGGTAATTATTAATAATAATAGATAATTATTAATAATCTTCAATTATTCACTCTTACCGTAACATATATACATTTGTGCATTCGCCACTAATCTAATGGACAAGCTTTTCTAGAAATGACTTTTTCCGTAACATACATCTCCAGTTCTTCTTCAGCTTTTGTCTGCACTATCTTCGGAGCATGCGAAGTTCTTGTTTTTGAATCAAATTCCCCCATATAGACAAATAATCGTCATCACTATTTTGCTGATCTTGAATATCTGCCACCACTTCTCCACTCGTTTGAATTCATGTTACTATTAGTGATATAACGAATGATTTTGTTTCCTCTAATGACTGAGAGTCAAAGAATGCCACGTCTTTGTAACGCGGATCCAACAGTGTGCACGTGGTAATGTGTACATTGTTTTTTATATCTCCCAGCATTCCTGCCAGACCTAGTTTCAGTTTTCCTACCATATCAACCACAGGCGCATAAAAGTTCTGGATTCCAAACTATCACAAATAGACATTGTGTAGAGCGTGGACTGTATTTTGTGCTGGTCGCTTCAATAATTAGATATATTCAGATAGAAGGTTATTTTTATTTTATTTTAATATAGTTACAACGCGTGCACGTACGACCTGAATTGTTGATCGATTTACAATGACTGTGTTGTCAAAATTATTATTCTATTTCAAAATTCAAAAAATAGTTATACAAACTTCATGTTTAGAATTGCTCTAAACATACTGCCGCCTGGGCAAAAATAAATTTATACATAACAACACTTATTCCTTATATCGCAAACATCTTGTTAGTTACAATGTTTTTCTAAAATTTAGAACATTAATTAAATAATTCGCATGAAATTGTGATACAACCTGATTTTTTATAATGTGTGATGCCGTGGCTCCAGCTATAATGTGTCCGAACCTAGTGTTGAATATATATGGAGAAGATGGCTGCTGCTGGTCTGGGTCATTGCTACCACATAAGGGTAATGGTTTCTCAAGCGGCTGTATTATTTGAAAAAATACATCTGCGCCTATCAGCATATTTATCTCTGAAGGCTTATTGAAGGTATACCACCTTGTGGCTAATGTGATTCCTGTTGGTATGGATATGTCTTGCAAGTTAATCTATTTCTGTGGCAGGTTGCAAGTTATTTTGTCTACCACATGACAGTTAATAAGTGTAGTGAATGAGGACGTCAGAGAATGAACTTGTAAAGGAATACAGTAGCTTACTTTGCTATTGTTTTCAGTTACCCCGATTAAATTGATATCACTGCGATGAGGTGTCAAACCTAATACTTCTACAGCCTTTGTAGTAATGAGTGAAACTTGAGAACCAGAATCAAGAATACATTTTACATACACTTCCCTGCCAATTTTAGAAAACAACTTAACCCGAGCCGTAGGAATTAGAATGTTGTCACTAGTACAGCCTCCGGAATGGAGTACCACTGGTTCTGGCTCAACTTGCTCTAGGTGCAGGAGGGTGTTATGCTGCCCTTTACATATTCTGCACCTAAAATGGTATTTACATTTGCCATTATGTATGTTGAGACAGATGTGGCATAAATTCTTATCTTTACTGAAGGCTACTCTTTCTTTGGAAGGTAATAATTTAAATTTTTGACAAGAAAATAACTTGTGCTTGCACTTACAGTAGATGCAGTCCATTGCAGGCTTGGCTGTGGCTGCTAAGCGTACTCTTCCCTTGGTAGCTGTTGCAGCTGCAACTTCTTGCTTGACATCTGTGTTTTCAAGCGCCAGGGCACGCTTGTCCATATAAGCTAAAAGGTCACCCATAGTTGGCTCTTGTTCCTGGTTTCTTTCCAGCTGATACGCGCGAGCACTGTACGTGTCGAGCTTACGTGTTACTATGCCCAACAGGATAGGGTTCCACGCGTCCACGTTTGCATCTAGATTCTTTAAAGCTGCCAAATTTTGACAGATTGTGGAAACAAATTGTCTAATTTCTTTAGCTCCTACAAATTTGGAAAGTTTTTCCAGATCTAAGAGGGCATTAACGTGCTCAGATATGATTTTGTATTTGTTATAGTATCTATAGTGTAACAATTGCATGGCTTCGTTATAACTTTCACTATTCAGAGGAAGATTTTTAACTAATTCATAGGGCTGTCCCTTAAGGAATGTTCGCAAGTAGTATAGCTTTTGAATATTATCTATAGCCTTATTGGTATGAATAACCGATTTAAATATTCCTATAAAGGTCACGTATTCAGAGTACTGGCCTGAGAAAGTTGGTATTACAATATTAGGCAATTTAGCTCTAGAAGTGATAGTCCTACCTGACTCCTGGGACATATCCTTATCGTTTGCAGCCTATTTTAAATTAATTTGCTCATTAAGTACAGTTCAACACTGGAAATATATATTTTCCGTGTGCTCCACATTTTCCGGGTCGGACGAATCTAATGTCAAAATCTCCTTGTTATATGTTTCGTATTCATTAAAACATGATAATAATTTATCACGTTTTACAACTAGGGTTTCAAGTTTCGATATTTTGACATTATTTTCGTCTAATATAAAATTGTGAATACGTGTTAACGTACCTTTTACGTATCCCCTTTGAATTACTAGTTTTTTTTGCCATAATGACGTTTTTTTTTTAATAATTAAATTGAAAACAAATCTGAATTAATTAAATTAAAGGGAAAACAAAATGGCGATAATCAATATGATTGATGGAATAAACGCAGATGACGCAGACGACGCTTAAATTCTAATCCAATAGAAGCACGTCGTTGTTACCATGGATACAGGTTCTCGCTCCTGATTGGTCGACGCTCGCCGTCGAAATTGTTGTCACGGCGTGATTCGTCGGAAGACGATCCACGCTGCGCAGAATGCAGAAGTCTTTTTCGCAGCAATTGAGGTCTGGGTTTCTGGCTTATGCAGCTTATGCAGAGTGTAGCAGACTAACTATGCTGATTTTTCGCAGGTCGTCCTCCCGCGGCCTTCGGGAAATAATGGTGCACGTAGTTGCACTTTTAGATCTTACCTTCTTCCAAATCTTTACTGAGGCGTAGATGGACCAATGTTTTTTTCTCCTTTGGTAACGAGGAGGATATCTACGTTGTTTAGTTTTTCGGGAAAGGCGTTATATAATGATGGTATACCTTCTCCGTCGAACAGCTCTTTCATTGCGAGGCTGTATTGTTCCTCTGCAATTTCAGGGCTCGTTATGTTATCGAAATTTGATTGAGGGGATGCGATATTATTTTGAGTGCAATTTGCAATTAGTTTGCGCAACGCTATGGTTTTTTGGCTTGCGAAATCATCGTCGTTTGGTTTTTTCTCTTGGCTCCACTCAAAGGGTGCAAGGTGGGTGGTTTTTGCAACTTCGGTTGTTGGCTTCTCATTCTTGGATGAATTTGGTGAGATTGATTTGGGCGCTTCGGAACGCGGCTGCTGTTTCCTTGCATGCGAACGTTCGCTCTTATTTGTCTCTTCGGGTTGTATCGCGCGTATGGGCGGATGCGTGGATTCTCTCCTTTCTTTTAAGGCGTTCTAAGCGTCCATGCTTGTATATATCATCTAGGACGCTTTGATCAACAGATGAAGACTCTTAACTCGGGCGTGAAGCTGATTAATGTACAACTTCCCACGCCCAACCTACTTTCGGAGCTAAATTTCTTTTCACCTGTACGTTTGTATGGATTTGCATAATCAACAGTATGAGGGTAGGGATTGACCGTTCTAGTCAGTCCTACAGCATACGTGCTCTCTTATTCAACATGTCTAAACAGACATTAGACTCGAGACCAGGACCATAGCGATACTCGCGGTAAGATAATTTTCTCCACTCATTATCTTACTGACCTCTTTTAAAACAACGCAAATTCGCTCGATGCACTTCCACTCTTCGTTGAAGGGTGGGGCAGCCTATGTAACTATGCTGAGACCTTAGAACTTATTATCTCAAGGTGGGTGGCGCATTTAGTTTGTCGATGTCTATGGGCTCCAGAACCACTTAACACCAGTGGGCGGTGAGCTCGTCCACCTATCTAAGCTATAAAAAAAGGTATAAAATCTCTCCATCATTAAATAAGTAGAATTCCACCTGGTGGAAAGTGCTTTTACAAGGCTCCTGGGTTGTTGGACATTTAAATTGTTAATCCTAAGCTTTTCTTTGCCAATACAGCTCTTTTTAAAAAATGTTACCGTTCTGGCAACCTTGTCTATA